AAAAAAAAAACCTTTTTATTCGATGACTAACATGCACTGGCATTTCTATTTTGCTTGCTTCACGCGGAATAAAGGACCTTTCGTTACTTGAAAAGCAGTTAGAGTGTAGGAGGTCTTCACAAGAACAGGGGACACTAGTAGCTTTAAATAGGAGCTATTCTGCCAAAAGGACTACGAACTCGTTGGAAAAGATGCACATATATTCAAAACGACGAATCTCTGTGGACTTCTTATTGGAGTGGAAGAATTTAAAATAGAATTATCAGTTTGCCATCTGATCTTTGTTTGTCTGTCTGTTTTTTTTTTGTTTTTTTTTTTTCCGAAGAAAGCAGTCCGTATTTTTCTGCTGTTTGTATTCTGTTCGGTGGAAATCTTAACTGAAAAAGCGTTATCGCCAAGGCGAGGCCTCTCTATGGATTCTTCATACTCCACATTTTCGATTACAAAAGTCTGTCACCCTCCAAGATATAGAAGGCCAACAACCGTCTCAACATAAAATAAAACTGACAGGAAGATTCAAGCAAACGAAAAATTTTGCGATGCAGAATACATGAAAAGCGACAAGAAATAAACTTTTGGATCGGATAAGGTTGAAGTAAAAACAGAAGCCATCTTACCTGCATTGAAACCGAAGCCTACTCCGATAAAAAATACGACCAAATAAGCATTTCTTGAAGCCATTCCCATATTCTTCTGCCGATGCAACAACTCGACACATTCGTTTCGACCACGGACGTTGTACTGACTGAACTCGAAGCTGTAAAAACAATCCTTGAGACGATTAGTAAGCTAGTTCAGCACGTGGCCAGCTCTGCTCTTGAGATGTCTCAAAGCCCTTTACCCCGAAATACTCAGGTAATGAACTGAAAAAACTTTAAATACTACTCGAGGGTAAACCGAAAACTTTGAGTACAACAATTAAGTAAAGAAGAAGTACTATGCGATGAACGGCCTGCTACATCTGTTATCCAGTGCTGCCGGTGAAATCATAAAGCGACGTTTTGTTTTATATAGATGGCACTACATCCGGCTTCGATGGATGCTTCCAGGAAAAGAAATTTGAGAATGGCTTGTTAAGAATGTTGTTCCATTTTATCATACCTAGCGTATTTCCTTACTTTGTCACGGGCGATAACAGTAACGCTATCATATCATAAAAAGTCAAGATCGTGTATGGACCAGATTTTGAGTTCAGCTTTCACTAAGATTTTGGGCATATTTTTAGAGATGCTTGAAAATTGTTTTAACACATAAATCGCTTTTCCGCTGACAATCTTTGCTTTTAGAGAGCTATCTTTCCCTTACCGAAACCACGTCAAGTGAAGATCATGGAACCGTTTGATCAAATGAATATACCAATGGTTCTGTCTTCTCGAAGTCTAGCCTTTGTAATGCGTATGCGCGAGTTAAAAGTTGAAAAATTTGAGGCAGCTGCACGCAGCTAGAATAATCATAAAAACTCGCTATTTCTGTTCTGTAATAGAGCTTTTCATCTTGTTGTTTAAAATAAGAAATTAAAGCCACTCTTGGTCTGAAAATAGGCATGGAATTTAATCTTGTCGACCCAGATCCGTTGTGATGGAATGGATGCTTTTTGGCCACCTTCACACTTCGAATGATGTTATGACGCAAAGTCAATTCTGAGAAAATGAAAAAAATCGTCATAGATTGAACCCGGAAAACATTCAGTCACGTTTCGTCTGTATATGCCGGTATAACTGGCGAGTTGTACGAAAAATGACCATAGACTAAAAAAATCCTCTCTCACGCAGGGGTGGAGTGGTGGTGTACCTAAGGTCACAGGGGAGGGGTGAATAGCAGCAACTGCGGTGCCAGCATCATTCTGTGTTAGCAAAGCATGAAACATTTTTTCTGTGCGTTACACTTTTGGTAATTTTTACATTGATAACCATAGTGTTCCTAACCGTCAAACGAGGATGCGTCGTTTTAGTTTGAATTTTACTTATCTAATTATATTACAAATGGATGGAAATCAAATCATATTCAAACTTGGTTGGTGGTTTTCCCCGTCATGCCCTCGAAACTTATGTAAAATCCACCGAAGCGAAGCCATCGAGGTATTGTAGTATATATTCACCTTATTGCCGGTTTTCACCGTCTTTCCATCATCAAAACGTTTAACCATTGAACAAATGAAGTCAAGAATCAAAGAAATGAAAGAAGAGGAATGTCGTGTCACGCAAAAGCTTAGAAATTCAACCTTCCTTGACCACAAGACGAAAAACCCTATCAAACTGAGAATTTGTGAAAAGATAAGTCTTCAGCTGTTCTTATAACTAAAATAAAATATCAGAAGGATTGACAATTCTTTATGTTCATGGTTTAACATATAAGTCATATAATATCCGCAGATATTTTGCGCCTTGCGTTATATTAACTGAGCTCCTTCGAGGCAACAAGAATTACGAGTGATAAGCAAAGTGCTTTCTCGTATTAGTGTATGTAATAGGACTACATGTTGCCCTGAACTTGGAAATAATTGGGTGAAAAANAAAAGTAAAGAGATTTTCTTCTTGCATCTTTTATGTAGCCCATAAGAGTGCTTTTGCTTGTGCAGTAGCTAGCTGCACTTCCTTTCGTCTGATTGACTTTGGTTTTG